TGCTGCTGCTACACTGTAATTTCCCAGCTTGAGATCAATAAAGTATATCTATCTATCTAATTGTTTGTATTTATTGTGTATTTTCTTATATGTTGTGCTGTATCTGTAGCAAGTGAATTGTGCCAGTGTGGGATCAATAATGTTTAACTTATCTGATCCCTATTTAATATAGAGTCCCGATCCAATACTTATATACTAATATTTTCCTTAATAATACAGTTTATTAATTCTGCATTGCATTAAGAAAAAAATCCCTGCAACCAAGCTGTTCCTTAATGGTTTTATACATAATATATTGATATGAATATAGTCTATTATATACATATATATTCTACTAAATGACTAATAAACAAAGTAGGCTATACAATATCCTAACAAACATTATATTTATGACATTTATTTGCATTTATTTTGTTATTATGAGGATGTATTTACATGTTACTGTTTTTATTGTGTTCATTTTCTTGCCTTGCACAATATGTGAAGCACTTTGTCTGAAAGCTGCTGTAGAAATAAAGTTCAGTCTTTAAACGCGTCCTGCAGACTTTAGCTTTTACCTGACTCACCTGAACTCTCCTGATTACACTCATACATTCCTCTTATTTTGCTTTCTGCTCCTCACGGTGCTCCGTAGTTACCTGTTCCTGGTTCTTCCAGTGGTGCAGGTTCGGGTCCATCAGGACGACGAGGACAGAAACAGGACTACAGCACCACAACTGCTTCTGAGGTCAAGTTGTTGTAGAAACGACTTCCTCGTTCAAACACGTGTTCAGCTGTGGACGGGTGCGTGTTACATTCACGGACTTCGGGGAATGTGGGAGGTTGTAGTTCCATTGTATTGAAGTTGCTGTTGTGTTCAGTTCGTTAAGGGGAGAGCAAGGGTTGTGTTTACAGTCGATGCTACACATTTGGACCCGTTAATAACGCAACATTTCACACTCAGTATAGTCTCGTTACCCTTTTTCTTCTCTCTCTCTCTTTTGAACAATTAATTTGAGCATCTACTTGACGGATTTGTGAGATATAATTCTTTGTATTTTTTCAAGTTAAGTTTGGTCCATTTAATATATTTCCAGTTGTCTCCAGGACTGGAAAACTCGTCTCTAAATGTCCAGGTTTTCTCAGGACACTTGGGAATCCTATTTTTTTCCTTAACACCTGAGGAGCACCTGAAGGCAGCACGTCTTTTTTTGTTTTTTATTTCGTCATTTGTTCCGGTAATAATCTGTCCTCACACAAACCGAATATCTCACCCGTTCATTTCATTATTATTATTATTATTATTTAATATTTTATTTTTTAGGTGGACGCGTTTTGCGTCAAGCACGTGCGTAAGTGACGTAACAACCGGCTCAAACCTGTGACATAATCCAAAATGGCAGCCACTATTGGAAGACTGCTTGGGACTTCTGTAAGTGCAACTTTAACTGATCAGCAATCAATAATCGATGAACGAGTCACGCGTGTGTGTGTGCGTGTGTGTGTGTGTATGTGTGTGTCGCACATTTGAACCAGAGGACCTGACATTGTGGTGACCAACCTCTGGTCCGCGGCCGCTGTGGTAGATCGATAATAAATACTCTAATAATTATATTCTCTCAAGGTCATTAGAGTAATAATTAATGAATTAGTTTGTTTATAAACCTCTAACAGAGTAGTTTTGCATGGTGGTTGCTCAATAATATAATAATATAATATAATATAATATATGAATATATTATGCAATATATTATATTATAATAATGCACCATATTAATGCAAAAATACTATAATTAATGACTTTAAGGATTTTATTATCTGTGACAGTAATGTTACACAACACATTACAATAAAATTAATATTAATTAATGGTGTCTGTTGTGTGGTAAATGTTACAGTAAGGTCTGCCAGTTAACAAGGACACATACACTTAAAATCACATTGATGTTTAGGGTCATGAAGTGTTTATATATATAAAATATATGTGTATTTATATGTTTTATGGTCGTATCATCCGACTACATTTCCCACTCAAAGTTCACTGCAGTTAACCTTCATATTTCTGCTCTGTGTAATTCTTGTACAATCAGTCAAGTAGTTAAAAAATGAATATATGTCCCAGTATCTCTGTAAATATTCACTAAAATACTGAATGTTGTTTTTATTTTACATTAATTGATGCAAGTTTGCAACGATGTACACACTCAATATTTCAGTTTTTTGTCAGTAAATATCAAAATCCACCTATTAATATTATTAATTATATCTATTCTTATTATAAATTCTGCTGTAATGTGTCAAAACGTGTACTAAAAGGTCTTTATCTTCGTTTATATGTTCGTATATGTTTGTAAAGAGGAGCTGCAGGTTTTCAGTTGGAAGCATGAAAGTAATAAATTAAGTATGTTGGCCACCTGAGTTGTTATCGTGCAGTTAGAAGTTGTTCAGGTTCACTGAAGCAGTTTTTTAGTCTGTTAGTAACCGTTAGTGTCCTTGGGTATTTTGTCGCTGACAGATGATGCAAAACACCTGCTGTGATGTCACCATTTGGGGTGTGGCCACACAAGTTGGTTGACCTTTAAACCCTCTTGCAGAGCAGTGCAGCATTACTTTTATTAACAATGAGACTATTTCTGGAATTACTTTATTTAAGATCAAATCAAATTACATTTATTTCTTCAGCACATTTAAAAACAACCCTTGTTGACCAAAGTGCTGTTTTAAAGGTCCAGTGTGAAACATTTAGGAGGATCTATTGGCAGTAATGTAGTATAATGTTCACAGGTATGTTTTTATTAGTGTTTAATCACCTGAATATAAGAATCATTTTGTTTTTTGTTACCATAGAATGAGACGTTTTTATCTACATTCATAGACACACAGACACAGACATATATAAAGACCCAGTCATACAATAGCCTGTGTTTTAAATATATTCTTTAGAGCTGTATTATTATTATATAGTTTTTAAGTTAAAGTTACAGTATTAATATTTTAATCTACAATTATTCACTATGTAAAAATAAGCTTTAAACACTTCAGTCTCACTAACAATCGAAGCTTCTGAACGAGGTTGAGCTCGTCATTAATTCTTTGGCACAGGGCGTTCAGCCTGTTGGCGTCGAACCTCGCCCACTCCTTCATCTGCGGCTCGTACAACAGCCTCGCATTCATTAACGGTTCTTAACAAGCTTTGTCAAGCTCTTGAGCATCTTTCACATTACGACCTTTGCTCACTAGCCTCTGAAGTGGTAGCAACAAAAGACATCCATGAAAATAATAGAGGAAGGACATGTTTTCCCCTAACAGAGGACAAATTAATCCGTTTCAAACATAAAAGTTCAAATATCTTTGGATTTATATATTTTCTTTACTATATTTTAGACACAAAACCAGGTCAGGTTAACCAAATAATATTTCTTCTGTGTATTTAACATTATTCATGTTAAATTGATGTATTTCTATTTGTTTATTTCAGGCAAGAGTTGCAGCAGCAGGTTTGAAAGTCACAGCAGCCTGTCAGCATGGACGAGTCCTCGCTGGTCCTGCTCTTCAGAGAGCCTGTTTCTCTACCAGTACGTACAAAACCAAAGGAATAACTTACTTTATAAAACAGCAAGAGCATAAACGGTTAATCCAGCAGCCTTAATATTGGTTAATCTGTAAACTGCTTATCTTTGTGTTGTGTTTCGAGCTATTTGAAGACATTCTTGGCCTCTTGGTCACTGGCGGTGTTTCTTTCATCAGTTAATTGAGAAAATAATTGGCAGATCTGGATGGTTTTCTCAAGCTTCTTTAATTAATTAATATGGCTAAGTGCAATATCCACTGCAGTCTTCTTGATAAAAGGATTATAATGAAACAAAAGCACCAGCAGGATCCGCCCCGGCCTACAAATCTCCACTGAGCCTAAGAAGGGAGGTAACTGGCTTATCCAGGTTACTGCAGGAATAACTGTGTGACGTCAGCCACTTAATTCACCACTTTCATTTTGGAAATTTACCACAGTCATATTCAATCACATCACACTGAACACGCCCCTTTAATGTGAACACTCACTACCTCAGATTAACACCAACTCAACTAATCAACCTCTTCTCGTCTCCTTTCGTACTTCATCACAAGAAATGTCACGTCATTGTAATTTTAATTGTGTTTTCTTTCATGAAAATTAAAATTGTAATGCAAAAATTATTATCTCCCCTTATTGTGCAGCCCTCGTTCTGTCAGTATCAGTCTGAATAACTGGGATAATGTAGGTGAAATAGATCTTCTATTGTTCTTTAATTTGTTTTAGGAGCACATCATTAGATTACTGCTGGACAATAATATCACAATATGATATATTATATATAATAATAATATATATATTTGTAGTTGATATGATGTGATTGTATAATCAAACATTTCCACTGACAGTCTTCTAATATTCTTGCTTTGTGTATTACTAGTTTTTAAAAAAGGAATTTCAAAGTTTCTGTAAATGGCTCCTATCAGTAATATTCACTACTTTCATCTAGATCAATGTTAAATAATATTTAAGTTAAATATTCTTTAATAAAGTTATTTATATCTGTAATCAGTGAATTTTCCCCTCTAAAATCGGTATTGACATCGGTCAGACTCTAGTTTTTATATTAAAAATGAGGCAGCGTTACATAAATGTTATCATCAGAGACTGTACAGACAAGTCTCCAGTTTTCAATGTGATGTCTCCGTACTTGGACACTGCAGGAGTGACCTTACAAAGCAAATAGTATGAATGAATAAATTGTGTTTGACTTTTCTATTAACAGGCACTTCCAGATGGGCCCCCGCTGTCACTCAGCCTGCTCCGGCTTTTAAGGCCACAGCTGTCCACAATGGGGAGTTCAAGGATATGAGCCTCGCTGATTTCAAGGGCAAATACCTAGTCCTCTTCTTCTACCCACTCGATTTGTGAGTATATACATGCTGGCGTTCCCTGACTTTGATTTAAATGTACATAAAGTACATAAAAAATACAGAAAATATTTTTCTGTACCTTTACTGATGACCATGTCTCTCTGTTATATTGCAGCACCTTCGTCTGTCCAACAGAGATCATCTCATTCAGCGACAAGGCCAGTGAGTTCCACGACGTTAACTGTGAGGTGGTGGGAGTTTCTGTGGACTCGCACTTCACCCACCTGGCGTGGATCAACACTCCACGCAAGGTACTCTTCCTCCTTTTTAATGATTATTCAGTAGCAGACACATGGTGCGAAGGTTCAATCTGTTATTTCATCCGTCCTTTCATGTGGACCATAAAGGTAGTAAATGACTGACCTGCCAGTGCTGTCTAAATGAATCTGAAACACATTGTTATTGACTGCATTAGCAGCAGTTATTGTGTCAGTGTTGATCTAACAGCTGTTATTTGATGCTGTTTTGTCAGACTGGAGGCTTGGGCAACATCCACATCCCCCTGCTGTCTGACCTCAACAAGCAGATCTCTAGAGACTACGGGGTGCTGCTGGAGGGGCCGGGCATTGCACTGAGGTGGGTTCATTATGCAAATACCATTTTTACTCCCTGATACAGATTACCTAAAAAATAGAAGTACTACTAAGCCTGTATGATTGCTATCGCTGTTGTATGACCTGGCTCAGGTTGCACCCTTTGTCAGAGTAGGGCAGGTCATGACTTCACTATCCTGGGGGTAAAAAATGGTGAACGGGACACCGCAGGGACGTAGCAAGGTCCTGTTTCATGGCAAAAACAATCTGTGGTATCGGATCGACGCACAGGCACGCGTACTGCCGATACCAGGTACTGGATTTTAGGCCGTATGTGAGGAATTTCTGGTTTCGGTATCTGAACAACTCTACGCTTTAATGCAAATGTTTTAAATCTTAAAATGTAATTTTCAACACAATTTACAGGTATATAATTATCTTGACTACATTCTTTGCTGTATAGTTTAGTTGCAGTATTATAACTTTCTGGTCAAATACAGTGAGATACCAGTAGAAGGTGTGATAACGAGGGCTGCACGATATGGTAAAGACATCATATTGAGATTATTTTTGACAGATGATTCATGATCAGTGTGGAAATCCTCATCATTTTTACATCAAAAATGTAATTGTCAATGAAAAAAACAATAAAATCATGATGATCTGAATTTTGGGGGGGTCTTAAATCTGGAGAAAAGGTTTTGTAGGTCAGGGCATCTCTGCAGCACTACAGTACTTCATCTATGAATTGCAAAATATTGTACTTATGGTACAGATTTTGTGTTCTTATTGATTGTATGATAGTATTATTATAGTATATTATACATTAATGTAGTCTTTAAAAACAGAACTTTATAGCCATTGCTTACAAAGATGCTTGATAACTTCTTTTATGTTACCATTGTGTTTCAGGGGCCTATTCATCATTGATCCAAGCGGTGTGGTGAGGCACATGAGTGTGAACGACCTGCCGGTGGGCCGGTGCGTAGAAGAGACCCTTCGCTTGGTGAAGGCGTTCCAGTTTGTGGAGACCCACGGTGAAGTGTGTCCAGCCAGCTGGACCCCCGAGTCCCCGACGGTGAGTTCCTTCAACCTCTGATATCTTCTGTAAATGCCAGAGGTGCAACTCAAGTGCTAAACTTTGAGTTTTGAGTCCTGAACAAGTCATAATGTGGCGCTCAGTATAACGTTAGTTCGTCATGGTTCTCTGGATGCTGTCAGACTGGTTCAAACTAAGTAGATTAGGGCAACTGAGTATCGACTTGCTGGGAATGAGTAACGTTAATATTAGTTGTTTTAGGAAAAGAAGCGAGACGCATTTTTTAAATAACGTACTTTTTAATCGTTGGGCTTGGGGGCAGGTATTAAGTATTATCAATTAAAACGACTCAAGTGAAGTTACGTGTCAATGGTGTTAAAAGGTGTCGAGATGAGCTGCGTCTCATCCGGAAAAAGTGGATAAGATCAGGTGGCAGCAGCTGGAGGAGTCGAGTCTGACAGCCTTCAAAGAATATACAGAATGTCACTGAACTATTTACATCCTGTTAGATTAATCTGTAGTTGGTGATCGATTCTGTGCAGGCCTGGCTCACCTCGAACAAACCAAATGTCCAAATCGAGTTGCCGAACTTTTTTGATTTTGTCGACTCTAAAATCATCAAATATGTGACTCGAGCCCACACGTCTGAATCCTCTTCAATCCACACATCCACTTTATTTCTGTTGCAGACTTATATGTTGCCCACTGTCCTTTTATTAGTAGTGTTTATGTGATCTGTAATCTGAAGAAACTGTTGCATGCTCTAAAATGTGCATTAGGTTCACCAGTCTTCTATTAGACTATAAGCCCCAGTGGAAACTAGATTTTAAAGTTCATTTTATGTAACTGTTTGCTTTTCAGATCAAACCAACCCCAGAGGGATCAAAGGAGTACTTTGAAAAAGTCAACTGAAGACAAAGTTCACAAGACAACTCTTACACCTAAAGCAGTGAATGCTACGATCTAAAAACCATTTATCACTCTTAGTATACAGTTTATAGGTTGTATCTACTCATACATGCACCTTAATAAATATATTCTTTATAAATGACAGCTCTTTGTTTTGATTCATGTGATTGTAGTTCAGAGTTACCCCCCCCCCCCCCCCCTCCTCCCTCCTCCTTTGACTCTGCATCAAACAGACTGAACTGCTGTATAGTCCTGTGACTGCAGTACACATCTACAGTGCATTATCGAACAATTCAGTCCAAAAATATTTAATCACACTTAATAACCCCTGTACATAAACATGTTTATTTTCTCTTTTTACAGCAAGTTAATATGCAGGTTCAAAATGTCTAATCAGACATTGGTACACAACATGAGGTGCCAAAATCAACTTCAGTGGGGGAGAACTGGAAATTAGAAAAAAAAAAAGGCATTGCCACTTCTCATACAAGTAGGGTACTTACTGTATTTACACAAAATGGGGAAAAAAGCGTTTGAAACACTCCGCAGCACTGTGTGTGGTTATGAAAACATCTAGTTTTAAGTGTACATAAACTTCACTTTGTACAGTATGTTTGCGGAAACAAAGCAATCGCCTCATTCCTTCCGACATTCACTAATGATGTTTCAGGTTAGGCAACAGAAAGAACATGGGGGAAATGGCTTACCAGAAGATGTAGAGCCTCTTAAAGCTTTAAATAATATATGAAATCGAAATAAGAAGAGTGTCCGTAAGCAGGCCCGCCGGTCATCATGTACCTTTACCCATTTTGAGTCAGAGAAAAACAAAAAAAAACCAACTGACAGCGCTGACTGAAGTGGAGTTTGATGAGAAGATGGTTTGGTGAAAACTTCATGCAATTTCAGGCAAGATGTAACAGCGCCACCAGCCCCATCCCAAGCACCAAACAAAGACAAAAAACCAAAACAAAATCTTTTTTTGTTTTTAACTGAATGATTCATTTAAAAAAAACACCCTGTAGTAAATCTGTACAACGAAAATACATTTGGGATCTACATCTAAAGGTACATTATTAAGGTTATATACACTCCCCCCATCCATATATTATCTTTACAAGTAGACTTCATTCAAACCCAAACATTAAGAAAACCCCGACTAAACGGGGAAATGGGATCACATCAAACATCCATTTAAAAATCTGTTCCTACTGTACCTCAACTGTTGATCAGTCCCTCTGTTCTCGTCTGTACAGTAAACTACAGCAGGACTAAAATCTCTCACCAACTGGATGGATTGCTACTGTAACAGGGAATTATGAATCGTCAAAATGGGGGAATGATTCTGGAGTGACGACAGCTTTTTTTAATATCATTTTTTTGCTGTGGAAGTAAATCAGAAGAGACTACTGTACTTGTGTAGTAACGATATTTTGAGTGACTTCAAGAATACAAAATAGAAATCAAGTCAGAACACGGGCACAAACCCAACTCTCCAATATTCTGACACAATAGAACAAAGGCTTTCAATACACTTAGGCCTCTTCACTGAAGAGAGCTACACTATTCCATCAATAAACATTTATGTTCTCTGGTCTCAGGTGGGACTGGGTTGGAAAGGAGAAGCCATGTCAGCCTTAAACATTTGCCCCAACGTTTTTTGTTTGAAAGCAACTGATAAAAACAGAACCGTGTGTTTGATATCTCTTCCCGCAGATTTGCTCTTGTTCACTTTGAGTTGCGGCGTTGAAATTCTTTCAGAAAATGGAAAAACTACATTGTACAAAGTGAGATTTTCACAATCTCTTTGCAAGAAAGAAAAGTAATAAAGAATGACTTGTGCCCGCCGTCTTTCAGGATACACGTAGGCAAATCCTTTAATATCCCTGTGTTGCTGCTTCGCTGCTTAGTCAATTTTCACATTTGTGTAGATCTTTCTCACAAAGGCACTTGTTCCCATGTATCCGACGGCACCTGGAACAAACAAATGTGTTTCTTTTACAGCGTTTCTGCAGGTTTCAACAGGTTCAATGTGAGACTTCAGACTATTATGAATGCAATTTAAGACCTATTTCACATCCACACTGGCAAAATAAAATGGAAATCTGTATTGGTTCTGTCGGATTAGTTGTTACAGCATGATCAATAAACACACACCCCCCCCAGAACAACACTGAAAAGTAAGCTTAACTTCATTAATTTAATCATTTTTAAGACCTGTCAAAATCATATTTAAGATATTTTAAGGCCTAAAATTCCAATTATTTGATTTTAGACTCTTTATGGACACCTTGTTTTAGGTGGCCTGCAACTGCAAGCATCCCACTCCAGGCCTACATTTCCGGTAAATCAATCACTAGACAAAATGATTACTGGCAAAGGTATCAAATAAAGGTTTGAGCCACATCCAACAAACCCAGAAGGCACCATGAAGTGGCTAGTGCAGATTAGAGAGAGAGCGCTCCACAAAGGTGCTTTAAAAGTTTCCAGCCTCGGATTATTACTCTTCAAGCTGAAGAATGAGTTTGGCTTGCAGCTGGTGAGGAAAAGTCGATTTAACTGCACTTAAAGCTGAAGAACCGATGTGGAAAAAATGTGCATGCTGCCCTAAAAAAAAAAATAATAATAAAAGCGGCACGTAGGAGTGAACTTGTAACAGTCGTGTTTTAGAATTTGTGTCTAGCCCTGTTGCAGGAGTCATGTACAGTCTTACAGTCTCTTTAATTATCATCTTTTTCCAGTTCGCTGAGAGGTGTTAAGGTGCAGGTCGCTGTCAAAAGGAACATCCTACATTGTATTCAACCGTGTAACATCACCTGCTGTGTGATATTCTGTTCTCACATCCTCTGACCACCTATCATCCAAACTGCTTTGGTTTAGCAGCACGTTGTCAAACCCTCTTTATCTTTGTCACTATGCGCTCTAACGACACACCTGCATTATTCATAGTTACTAATGGTTTGGATCCCTTACGAATACCAACGCTGCTACATTTGTTATGTTTACATCTGCTGAGTTCTGGCAACAGGACTTGAAGCTCAGCGGTGTGAAACTCTTCTTTTTACTCTTTGGTGACATTTTTGTGAACAAAGAATTATTTATGCCGATTCAAAATGACGTGACCCTCCTCATAAACAGGCGGCATTCATCAGGCTGAAACAAGTTCATGCAGTTAAGAGGATTTTGGCAACAAGTGAACCTCATAGAAAAATGTTTAGGATAAGAATACGTCTTTGTGTTGGGCACAATCCTTTGGAAACGTCCCAAAAAATCAATTCAAAAGCTCTGCTGCTGAGCTAATTAATCACATTGTGATTGCCAAAACATCTTTTACATTCATTTTGTCTCTAAGAAAAATGATGAAGTTGGGAAAGTATATTCCAAGTCTCTTGTATTGAGTTTTTAAATTATATCTGAAGTTCATAAGAGATTAATTCTGTGATTATTATTTAGTCCAGGACAGTCCTACAGTATTTAAACAACGTGATGGAGGACTCACCACACATGATTCCTAGGGCAGTGCTGAACACAGCCATGTAGCCAAAGTAGAAGGATGTCTGGAAGAGTCCGTACATCCTGAAAAACACAGAGGATAAAACATGTAAGATTTTCTTTTTCTTTTAACTGGATGAATTTAAAATAATTTGTAGGTATTTAAATTAAAACTTACTTAGTTTTGAAGAAGTAGTAGTAAAAGGAGTACATGTAAACATAAACAGCAGTGGATGCAGCAGAGAGGAAGCTTGTCCATTGCCTAAAAGAGAGAAGACAAGCAGGAAATTTAAGTAATTGTTACAAACTCCATCAGTAGTCACTTTTTGACTCATTACTGACATTTGAATCATTAATAATTCCCTCAAACCAGCTCTTGTTTAGGTACTGAGGCAAGAAAAACACAAGGTTTACAGCAAATACTCTCAAATATTAATATTTCACCACAAAACACAATTACACTCACCATCTGTAGTCCTCAGCGTTGAGCAGGAAGTACGTACAGACGATGGTGACACACACGGTCACGATGCACAGGATGACCAGGACCAGCATCATGAAGCCGTACACGTAGTAGATTTTGTAGGCCCAAAAAGATGTGAAGATGAAGTACCTGAAGAAATTAGGAAATAAAACATGTCACCTGCTGCAAACAACATCTCACCACACACAAACCCCCCACTCAGTATTACAGCAGAGACTTACATTTCAATGAAAATGGACCCGAATGGAAGGATTCCTCCGAGGCAGACGATGACGGCCGGCTCCATGAACCTGAGAGATCACGAGATTCGACATAAGAATACAACGCCTTATCTACATCCGATCCTCGCCCCCTCCAGGACGAGGATACATGACTTATTGTGTTATGAGAAGGAAAAAGGAAAGAGAAAAAGGAACACACAAGTTGGAAATTCAACCAAATTCTGACAGCGGCCTGAAGTCACATCTACTGTTTCCTCCTGGCGGCCGGCCACGGCACTTGGCAGGAGGTTGTAAATGTTAGTGCACTCATAGTTTATTGTTTCGCTATTTTTCATTACCCAAAGAGTTTGTGCAGACAGCAAAATCATTTTCTTCGTCAGACCTGACGCCTAACACTTGAACACAGGCTCTACAACACTTAGAATTCATTTCAAGCATTAAGTACAACTTCCTCCTCTCTGCCCACTCAGTCATCAAACCTTTCCCCCCTACAACCATATATACACCGCATGACATAAAGTTTAAATGTACATCGTATGCTGCCCAGCGGTACTGGGATGACTTAATGCTTAATCAACACACTTTGACATATTCTGTGTATAACGGATTTATCTAGTAAAAATCCACCATTTTTTTCTGTTTAATATCTTTGTAAACTGAAAATGTTTGGATTGCAGATAAAAGCCATTTATTGTTGATGATGATGGGTTAGATTTATGGTTACTTGTCACAGTTATGTGTCATTTATAGACATTTTATCAGCTAAGTAGATAACTGAACCAGTTCTACTCTACAGTGTGTGCAGAATATCTGCTGTTTTTGACATTTTGTTCCAACTCTCCAGTTGTCACCAAGGCAATTTCCTAAACATTTCCTGTACTCAGAGATTTCCAGCCACACCTACCATTTCTTCTCGGGGATCGGTCGCGGCACAGCGTTCACTCGGCAGG